CGAAAACGCTCCAAATTTCGCATGCAGTTTCGTTCAGGTATGTTAAGCAATGTCCCGTAGTTTTCGCGCTAAAGTTCGCTTCGTTCTCGAGATATTGTGTATGCAATAAACCACACGGTTTTTCCAACCTGTGTGCCTTTTTTGCATACGTTATTTCTCGAGAACGAAAAGCAACCCAGCGAAAAAAAAACTTCAGAGTAATGTTTCTCAGGTGAAACGAAGCCCACATGCCAAAATTCAGCTAGTTTTAAGCACTTTCAAAAATGGCCGAAAAATCTAGGGGACGTTCTTGCAAGCGGCCTTTCAATTTTACTTCTCAGTGTATTATTTTTTGCTTAAAAAATTAAAACATTTTTAATAGTGACATGCATCACTATAAATTGAATGTTCTGATTTATTCATCACACATTATTAAGTATTAAGTACTCACCTGTAGGGTATTTTGAGTAACTTCTTGATGTTCTATGACAAATATATTGAAAGAGAAAAAAAAAATCACAAAACTTCTGGAATGAGTTTTAATTAACTGAGTGATCAATGTCTAGTACATGTAATTTTAAAAGGCAGTTTACAGGGGTTTCATTAATGTTTTCACCAGGAGGGTAACTGGCTTTCACAGGTGGGCAAAACTATTAGAACTGAACCTCTTTGTAAGAAAAACTCTCGGCCAGATGGTCAAACCAGCTGGGCAAAATTGTCCTCATAACTGGTCAATTTGCCCGGTGCCCAGCCCTTAATGAAACCCCTGAGTTTAAGAAAAACACAATTATAGCAACAGCAACGTTGCTAAACAAAAGGTTTAATGAGCAGTACAATGGCTGTACTCATGCATTTTCTAATGATAAAATTCTTGGTACATTTCTTTGCTGTTCTCTACAATCAACAATGTGAAATGACCTTATTCTGCGTTGTCCTCAGAACGTGAACCATGATGGCTAAGTTTTTAACTTTCTATTTCAAATTTATGGCTGTGTTCCATGTTCAATTTCAAGATAGTTATTTTGACACTGAGAACCAAACTAAAATTATGACTTTAGAGTATCAGGAGCTTCATAGGTAAAATAGAAATTCATTTTTAAATTAACATCTTACATAAAGTACTTAACATCTCAAAGACAAATGCAATATTTGTTATTTATTTCAATTATTCACCTCAGCATCAGATATCACATCAACATCACCAATAGAATCAACAAAACTGTGAGCCATGCCAAAACTACAAATAAAAAGAGAGTAATGACTTAGAAAATGCTCAAGGATCTGCATGCACATCAGGTTTTCTACTTTTTTTTTGCCTTGTTTTAAATCCTGTGTGCTTACAGTGCATACTACTCTTGAAACAATGTACTTAGAAGCATTTAACTATGTAAATAACTCCGCTAATAAACTCAAGAAATAAACAGAAACTAGGTACTTGTAATAGTGATCAGCCATGCCAAATATATATGAAATCATAGGATTTCATGACATGCAAAATGAAAATAAACTTGCAAATGGAAAAAAAGAAAGAAAAATAAACAAATTGAATGCAAATGAAAAAACAAATTGCAGTTCTGTTACTTCTTATTGAGAGTTAATATGGTTGGAAAGACAATACTGAAAAGTTTTCAACAGGTTTCAGAGACATTCAAACCTATGACCTGTTCACAAAAAGCAGCCCAAAAGCAAGTTGACTTGTGCATATGTTTTTGGAAGTCCCATTACTACCATTTTCGAACTACCGTGAATGGCCAAATCTTTTCCGCGTTGTTCCACACTTAAAACATTCAAGTTTGTCTAGACAAACTGTCGCCTTTTTTAAGTGAACCAATTAACGTTTAGAGCGTGAACATGTCAAGTTTTGACAGTTCCGCCTGAATGTTCCTGCACGTGAAACACAGGTTTTGAAAACGTTGGCGTCGAGTTTTTTGTACATGTAACATTCTAAAGTACATTCGCCAGCTGTACTGTAAACCACGTCGGTTGTGCAAGTCAAGCTTGTATATTCATATTACTCGATGGAAAGGGTAACTCCGATTCTTTTATAGTCTTTCCCGTAAAACCATGAAAACCAGAGGAAATTTCTGGAATATTTATTGTTTCGCTACCAATCAGATGCGAGATAAAACCGCAAAAGATAACCGCCAAACCCTCGCAGCAGCTTGACATTAAACAACGAGTTGGCGAGTTTTTGTCATGACATAACACCTGCCATTACATATTCTCCAGCTCAAGATGTCACGCAAACTGTTAGAATATAAAAAAATTGGTCCTGTACAACCATGACGATTCTCAAATTCCACGAGCTGATTTCTTCAGTTCACAGATTTAATACCCTTTGGAAATTTCGAAGTTTCTATTCTTATCTATTTCAGGGAGCTGCACTTAAGTTACAAAAAACTCGACGTAACATTTTCAAAACCTGTGTTTCACGTGTAGAAATATTCAGGCGGGGCTGTCAAAACTTGACGTGTTCACGCTCTAAACATTAATTGGTTCAATTAAAAAACGTGACAGTTTGTCCAGACAAACTTGAATGTTTTAAGCGTGGAACAATGTGGAAAAAAGTTGGCCGTTCATGGTAGCTTGAAAATGGTATTAGATTTGATATAAAACATTCATTATACACTTACTACTTATGTTAAAGAAATACTCAGTGGCTTAACAAAACATAAGTGTCTTATATTAAATATATACTGTATATTAGAATATTGTTGCAAAATAAAATAGAGTTATACCTTGAGAATTCGACAGGGTCCCGTCTGTGGTGATTAACATCAGAAAACCTTCCATCTCGCAACCAGTTTGAAGGAGCAACATTCAAGTCAGTATCCTACACAAAATGTATGAATTTGAAGTAAATTTCAGCCTCACAGTAGAGAAAAAGGGAACAAAAATATCCTTCAAGCTAACAGCTGCTATTCCTGATCTTGAAAGGTAGACAAAACCAAACTGCTTGGGTAAAGAAAATGTTTGTTAGACAGATTTTTTTTAAACGACAGGCAGAATTAACTGTGTACTGTCCACGTTCAAAAATTCCTCTGTCTCAAAGAAATGAATGTTAATTAGTCTTAAGCTTTTCCATATTTAAAGTTTCTTTTTATAGTAAAAGAGATGCTGATAGATATTTTACAAACCTGTTGCAGTTTAAAGTAAGGCAAAACTTCTTGAGCTGAGTACTTCACAATAGCAGTTGAGCTGACTTCAGCCATCTTGGATGCCTGTAAAAAAAATATAACATGGCATTTCAATGGCATACAGTTATGTGGTTTGGTGTCTATAGTACTAATCAATTCTGTTGGGGGATTAAACTGAGTTTTGCAAAAAGTACTTAGAAGATTATTAGTTATCAAGTGTCTTATCAAATGACCTCATAGATGTGTTGGTCACAGATCTTTTGGTAATAAGCTCAGTTTCAGGGTGAAAGCACTCTCTGAAGCCAAGGTTCATGGTTCAAACAGCAGTAGAACCATCTGGAACTCATAAGCACACAACTAACAAAATTATGAAAGTGAAGAATGATCATCGCAGTAAATTTTCCAATTTAAGCAATTGGAAAGAAGGAGCCTGAAAAAATCAGGGCTTCAACGGGATTCGAA